CATATCGCCCCCAACAACAATCCGGGTCCTCATTTTACCCACCTCGGAAGGATGGAAGGCTGAGTCAACCTTGAGCCGGTGAGATTTGAACAGCCGAACTGCAGTCAGTTGAAGTATTCTGCAGTGCTGCATTTAACCACTGTGCCACCTCGGCTCTTTGCTCCTTTCCATACTCCTACCACCTAGGCTTCAGACTAAAAGTACAGTACATTCCTGATAGGCATTCACTGGTTGACCTTGAAACCTGAATGCCAACGGTAACTCTTGTATCTGTGTCCTGGATTGTGAATTTCCCCCGTTTCTTGAATTCACATGTTCTATTTTAGAAAATTCTGACAGGTTTTTAATGCTGATCTCTGCACTCCTCTGCAGTGGCTGCTGCTGCAGTCCCACCCCAGCCTGACAATTGCATCCTGCATTATATGAGGCACTGCAACACTTCGGAAAAGACTAAGCAGGAGAAAGCTGGTAATTGGAGAGAATGCAGAGGACCAATACAAAGAGACAAAATGCTTTAATGCAAAATTAATGAAAAATGATCCTGGCAGGGATTAGTGGGGGATGTGTGAAAAGTTACAGGGGAGGTAGGCGGAGGGAACAGAGGGGGGGGGGAGAAGAGAGGGAAAGACCTTACAAAACCATGGAAAGACTAAAGGAATCTTAGCACTGACTGACAAGTTCTGAATACTGCAAGCTAATGGGGAATACATTATATACAAGCTGGTGACACTCGTCCAAAAATAAACCCTATGCTCTTTTAACGAGTATCACAGGATGCGATGTCTAGTTTAGCACACATAGCAAAAAAAGAAGATGTCTGTATACCTTTAAAAAAAACACAATCAGCCTGTGAACCTTTTAGCAACAAGATGTTATTTCAAGTTCTGTTCTACAGAGACCTGCCAAGCATTTGACTTACTACTCACCTCACCCTCACTTCATGTTTGGAGAATTGAATAGGGCAGTGATGGCTAACGTTTTTGTCATCCTGTGCAGAAAGCGCGCACCACACCCATAATGCAATACGCACATGACACTCCCCCCACTCCACGCCCCCTGTGCATGCGTGCACGCCAATCGCCGTGCCCCGTTTTGAGCCTACCAGGACTTCCTGAAGCCTCCTGGGACCAAAAACGGTGTGTGGGACCAAAAACGGTGTGTGTGTGGGGGTGTGTGCACCGCAACCCCCTACATGACCCCTCTGCCCCCACGCATGCACACGCATCTCTGACATGCGCCTCACTCCCCGCGTGTGTGTGGCAGAGTCCTGAAAATCAGCTGGCCGGCAGGAGGTGCATGTGCATGCGCAATGGAGCTGAGGTGGGGTGATGGTTCTCGTGCCTGCAGAGAGGGCTCCGCATGCCACCTTTGGCACACTTGCCATAGGCTTGTCATCATGGGGAGAAGGGTGAGGTCAGATTGTGATTTGGACATACAAAAAAGCTGAGCGGGAAGAAAACCCACCAAAGTTTTGTGGGACTACCTTTCCAAATGTATCCCCTTCTTTCTCCCTATCGTTTCAAGAGCCAAGGTGGCGCAGTGGTTAAATGCAGCACTGCAGGCTACTGCTAGATCAGCAGTTCAGCGGTTCAAATCTCACCGGCTCAGGGTT